ACAGTGAGCGAATATTTACTAAAATTTAAAGCTCCCATTCCAGCAGAATTTTCGAGATTACCCAAAGCGCTTAAAGACTATATAAACTGGAAAGCCAAACTACATAAATTTTATACAACTTAGTTTGGGGAAACCTGTATTGAAAAAAATGATGTAGCTAAAAATATCCTCATTAAATTTGTAAGTGAATACCCCAAACTATATGGGGCTGGCAGATTAACGCACAACACCCATAACCTAATACATATTGCAAATGATGTTTTGGCCTTCAAATGCAGTTTGGATGGGTTCAGTTGTTTTCCCTTTGAAAACTATTTTAAAAGTATTCAAGGGAAGCTCCAAAACTCGCCTAAACCTCTTCAGTAACTGGTTAACAGATTGGCTGAAGAGAAGTTGCTGGAAACCACCATGGGCGCAAATGACGAGCTTTACCCAAGAATACAATATGGAAGAACAAATCTCATAAAAATACTATTCAAAGATTTTTTAATAACCAAGCGATTGCCAAACAATTTATGTATAGATTCAGATCATAAACTAGTGGGGTGGGTGGCATCGTGCCTTAAGGCAAATTGCTGGAACTTCCCGTACCGTAACAAATGTTCGAGGAATACTGAATGTTTTCAAATAGATTATTATAAATATTGTAACATTGTCTAATATTGAAAGTTGAAATTATTTGTTTAAAGTATATTAGAACTATAGTCAGGATTAAAAATAAAATCTGAATTATTTTCGATTTACAAAAAATTAAAAAAAAAAAAAAATGGAACAAAAAATTTTTTTTTCCAAAATCAATTATTTTGTTAAGACAAGCAGAAAGTTTTTTGAATCATTCAAATCGGACGCTTAGTTCTCTCAAAAACTGCCATTTTTTACATATTTAGCTCCGTATCTTCGAAATGGCTGGGCCTGCCTTTGCCAAAAACTAATAAACACTTCTCCCAATCATTACTAATTGAATGTTTTTTAGATCATTCAAATCCGATACTCTGTTCTCTCAAAAATTCGATTTTTATTTTCTGCATTCTTTGCTCCGTATCTCCGAAACGGCTGGACCTGCCTTTGCCAAAAACTAATCAGCTCTTTTCCCTATCAATAGGAATCGAATGATTTTTGAACCATTCAAATCAGTTGATCCGTGCGCCCTAAAACGTGACTGGAAATTTGTATCCATACATACATACACACACACACACACACACACACACATCCATTTTTTCTGAGGTATGCCAAAACGTTCAGAAACCTTCAAAACGTCGAGAAATGTAAAAATTGTCAATTCCGATTTTCGGCCCATTACAATAACTTACCCTACGGGAAGTTAATTATTGCTAATTCAGCATATTTATGATCTGAATAGAATTGTTTGTTCAAGATATCTAGCCATTATTTATAATTCCATGTCATTCTAGAGATTTTGATATATGCTTATATATTTAAATGCTAATAAAGGCAATAAATTTACGATCCCCGCTAAGAAAATAAAACAAGTCTTAATTTACCCTATTTTATTAATGACTTTTTTGTTTCTATGCCATTTCTATGGAATTATAAATAATGGCTTGATATCTATAATTACTAAGCAAAATTCAATATCATAAATTATTGCTAATTCAATATAGTTATGATCTGAACAGAATTGACCTCAGAATCAATCTGAACAGATTGATCAGAAAATGAAATGACATTTCACTTTTGTTCATGTCAACATTTATTTGTTCATGTTCATGTCAACATTTATTAATAATAATACGTGATGCTTGCATCCCGGGGGAACGTAGACAAAATTATTCTTACTTTTAAAAAACCGCGCGTCAGCGTCATATATGTTGATAACTTGTCAGGCAATCACAATGTTCGCGTTTGACATAACCTGTCGCAACTTATGTATAGACTTTATAAAGTACCTCCGCTTTCATTACAATCAGCCAAAAAAGAAACATCATTGAATATATACATATTAATAAGTCTTCCAGTGTTTTACTCTACAAAATAGAATGTTATTATAGAAAATATAAGCCAAATGTTGGTTCATTAGAAATGAGAACAGTGAAGGCTATGTGGATTGTCATAAAAAATGACATGAATATTAAATTTGGCACTACATTTACTGAATGCAATATTGAAAATCGTTGGAGAGTACTTCAACGAAATTATAAAAAATATGTTAACAGTAAAGCTACTGGTATAAATAATGATGTAAAAATAATTTTATACGTATTAACAATTATGTCTAATAGCGCAAGGAAATTTCAATTTCCAGTATGCAGAAGAGTTTGATGAATTATATGGCAATAGCCACTGTTCAATCCAATCCAATCTGCATACGGGAAACAAGTGATGTACATGAAATGGAAAACAATGCAGAAGCGCGGGATGATAGTGCATATGAATTTCGAAAACATATTGCAACTTCAAGAAGAAGGCAGCGTCGTAGAAGGCAAACAATATTAGAGAAAATAAGAGAAAACAGCAAAATTGAAAATTCTAAAACGAAAGTATGGAATGCTTTAAAATAAAATAATATTCATAAATTTTCATTAAATATATAAATCATTATACAATATAAATGCCTGATTTTAATTTATTAATTCATTTGTATTAATAAAATATTTATATTATTTTTTTTTAAACCAATAATAATTTCAGAGATTGTAGCCGAAACTATTTATAATGATATTCGAGTGTCGGAGGCTCAAGTGGGTGATTACATCAGAAAATGGCTTCGTCATGCACAGAGCAGGTACACTAGGAATAAAAAGGACAGAAGACAGGTTTTTAAATTTAGTTAGGTTTATTGAATTATTTAGTTAGGTTTTTATTGTATTATTTTGTTAGGTTAGGTTTATTGTATACTTATAATTGTAAGGCAAATTTTCAATTATATTAAATATATTATATAACATTATATGTCCGTGAAATACTTAGTTGTTTTATCTTTCGTGAAAACAAATATTTTAACCTTAATTGCATTTTTAATTCATTGAATATTCATAATTTCAGATTATTTATTTCATTGAGAAAAAAATAAATACGATCCATTTTCAACCCATATGCCAAACTTTGATCTGGGATCGGACGATTCTCAACAGATTTGCCAAGTTTTAACATATAATCGAAATTTTTTCTATGTATGTGCTGTGAGAGATGTTTAATTCAATGTGAAAAATCTTGTGCTTTGTTAACAGTAAAGAGTAAACAAGAAGATCTAGTTCCAATCCATGATCAGATAAGCTCTTGAATTAACAAGTAAGATTTAAAGAAAAGTTGCAGAGCGTTTGCTAAGAAAGGCGACAAACTGTGTGCCCAAAATGTTTAATAAAAAATTTGAAAATGAAACCTTTTCATTGAAATTCCGAAGTCTTATGGGGTTCAATAATTTGATATATGTAATTTGTTATTTCATAATAATGTTAGTCGTGTAGTGAGTTAGTTAGTTCTATTTTTTTCACAGGCATTCTTCTCGAAAACATTTGTGTTTTGTTGAATTAACTGTTACCAGAGGCTGCGGCATCTTCTTGCTGGTTTTTTCTTTGTTTTTCTCGCATCAGCTCAGCATCCCTGTGTTTGCGTTGCTCGAATGTCATTCCCTTTTTATCTGTGCTACTTTTCTTCTTGGCTAATTCGGTTTGTTTTTTCTGATTCTTAGCTCGTGCTAAATCTCTTTGATTTCCTCTTGTCATTTTTGTTTACTAAAATCTTAATCTCTGACTATCAAGGAAATAATAATTTAATGATTTTGCAAGCGCTCGCCGCCCTTCTTGTTACTTTTAGTTTTTATGAAACCGACAGCCCTAAGACTAAAAAGCAAATACAGATTTGCATTAATAATATATATATATATATATCTTAATCTATATACAGTTAGTGTCACGTTATTTGGCTGCGATGGACGCCTGAAATACTGAACCGATTTAAAATTAGTCGCAATCATCGTGCACATGTGGATATCATTTAGGCGGTAGAGTATATTAAAAATCTCAATTTATGGCCGAAATTTTATATTATTGAAAAAAATATATTTTGACGTTTATCCGAGAAATCGTAGTCATAGAATCAGTTTGAGCTCTGTCGAGAATCTAGACCAAAGGCCAACATTTATGGAATAAGAGAGAAGTTTTAATAGAGAATATTACGTGATTTCATTTGCGGCACTCGCTCGGTTATGCTACCCATACACTAGTCAACCAGGCAACCGAGCAATTTATGACCAAATGACCAATAAATGTCCAGTTCTAAAAATTTTCGGTGTCCCAGGCAATCGTACAAAATTTCATTCATATTTCTTGAATATTAGAGCAAAACGTATGTATATTTCGAACGTGAAATGTGATAAAATCGACTTTTGTTGCAAATTTTAGTTTGTTTTCATTTTATTTCAACATTTATTTTTTAGATAAAAATTATATTAAACTTATTTATATTAAATTAATGTTGTACATTTACAACAGATGATTTTGGAATGAATTTTGTCGCAAATATATAGCTCAAAATATTGCTCAAATGTAGACCAATAGCAGTTATAAGAAATTATTTACGATTTACATTATATTAGAACCTAATTTTAACCTGAAACATGGCTTTTAATCTTGGAATATATGTCTACATTTACAATAATGCAGATACGAGAAAGGGTCGTGCAATGTGGATTTCATAAGCAAAATTAAATTCCAAACCAATGACTCATATTTTTTGAGGTGCAAATAAAAACGGACAACTTTTTAAACAAATTCAATATTATATTCATTTTTGAAGGAAAAATATAAAATCGTATATATAAATATATAGAAAGCATTGCTTAAAATTATTTTAGTTCGACTATTATAATCCTGTGAGAAAGTTCTATTAGTTGGAAATCTGAATAGGAAAATATAGGTACGTATTAGTTTTTAGTTATATATACAGTTATAATTAGCACATTCTGAACAATTATTGATAATAATTTTGATGGATTTATAGATATGGATTCAGAAAATTTCATAGTGAAATTTATAGAAATGTACAAAGCCCATACTTGTTTGTGGTCAATAAGTGACGAGGCATATCATAATAAACAAATGCGCAATAATGCGTTAAATTCAATGCTGCCGGCATTTAAAGAAATTAATCCAGATGCAACTATAGCCACAGTGGCTAAAAAAATTAAAAGCATTAGGAGCGTTTTTAACAAGAAGGTTAACAAGGTATTTAATAATATTAAAAACTTCACAATATGAGGAAAATATTATCAAAATTAATTGTTAGTTTAGATGATTTGGACTGTGTTAATCTAACAGTATGTTATTCTAGATAAAAGCTTCTATGCGCTCGGGCTGTAGCGTCTACAAGCCAAAACTCTGGTACTTCGATCATCTTAAATTTTTAGATGATCGACACTACCCAAACATGAGGTCTCTGTGCATAAGTTCAGAAGAGCATTTAGAAGTGAGTATTTTTTTTATCAAATGACATTTTAAATTAGTAATTTTACAATTAACAAAACTATATATATATATATATATATATATATATATATATATATATGTACAGGGCCGGCTTTAACACTACCTGCGCCCTGGGCGAGATTTCTACGGCGCCCTCCACCTGCAATTCAAACCCATTTGTAAAAAAGAAAACATCTAATGAAATAACCGTTATTAAAAAAAGTAATTATTTATTATAAAAGATAACCATTTATTACATAAACACTAATAGAAATTTACTTTTCTGGCCTTTCTATCAGCAAACCCTTTTATAAGGTTGTCGAAGTCGATGTTTTCAGCAATTTCGTTTCCAATTGACAAAGTTGCTAAGTTTGTCAATCAAGATTGAGAAATCGCTGATCGAAGATAGGTTTTTATCAGCTTCAGCTTTGAAAAGCTCCGCTCCTCACTAGCAACCGTTACAGGTATAGTTAATAAAATTCGCAATGATATCCATGCATTTGGATGTTCTTGAAAGTTGAAATCGTTGATGAAATTTAAAACAAAAATGGGAGTAACCACATTTTTATCAGGTAAAAAGGATGCCAGACTTATAAGTTCATCACACAACATACAACCATCTATGTCTGATTTAGAGTCTACAGTTAATTGTAATTGGAGATCACTACAGAGCTTGAGAAGGTCGCGTTTTTCTGGAATCTTTTTAATATTGTACAAAAAAGACCAATATTCCGAGTACTCATTTAACTGTTCGAACTTTTCATTGATTGAAATTAATATACTGTCCAAAAGACAGTTGAAAAATTCAACCAAAAATTTTTTTCTGGAGAAGTTATAGGGTCATCGCCTACCATTGCCCATTTCACCAGCTTGACGCTTAATACGTCGAATTCTTGTTGTAACTAGAAATTCAGGTTCAATTTTTAGTTCTTCGGCCAACTCCTTCGCAGTTAAAATAGCGCTTTTAAAGACCGTATTTCTGTAGTCTTCCAAAAAATTTCAGCATTTTTTCAACATTTGTGTACATTTACCAAGATCCATATCTGTTGACTGTAGAAATTTACTTACAACATTTATTTGTTGCAGTATGTCTGTTTGAAACTATGAAGCTGAAATCTTTTAGTTGTTCGGCTAGAGTAGTAGCCTCATGAGACCTTTGAACATCAGTTTTCTGAGTTTCAAGAGCCAAAGTAATCAAAGCATCATGGATAGTACTAATTTGATAACGGACTGCTTTAACACTACTTATTCTTGCTTCCCAACGAGTGTTACTGTGCTTTTTTATAGTATATAGTCCCAAGTGATCGGTTAGAATTTTCCATCAATGAACAGAAGCTGAGTGGTCTGAAATATCATCCTTCATAGCTAATCGCAAGTGCTCCTGCATGACTAGATCAAATTTGGCTAGTAGTTTTACTAAGCCTAAGAACTTTCCGTTATTTGGCGTATATAGTTTGCCAGAAGTGCCTCTGCACGCCATATTGTCTTCGGCTAAATCAAGTGTGATATGCATCAATCTACACAAAACATTATTTCATCTTGTAGTTTCCTTTCTAATCAAGTGTTGCTCTTGGCAGTCTATTGTTTTTCCTATTTTTAATCGTAGTTCAGCTTCAATCCATGAAAGGTAAAAGTTTTTATGAAAAGTGCTATTTTCATGATTTTTTAATATTTCAGACAAGTATTTCCAGTTGTTATACCCTTCAGATACTAAGTTCGACGTTGAGCTACTATCAAATAGTCTACAACAAAAACAATAAACTCGATCCTTAGAAACGGAGTAAATTAACCAACGGCGCTGAATTGTTTCATTGTTTGCAAGAATTTTTGTGAGATTAGAAAAATGTCGGCCTGTATCATTTTTCGGATAATTATCAATGTGTTTTTGCACTGGGCCACTAGTATTTATGTGATTAATGAATTTTGCCATTTCGAGTGACTGGCCAAGTGGCGAATGAGCTGAGTTTGTTACGCTTTGCTACAATAAGGCTAGCTTTTTTTAAGAAGATAAACAATGTGTTTTGACAATAGACAAAAAAAACCGCTTAATTTAGGAAATTTACGACTAAGCAGACCTCGAACTATGAGCATCAGCCGGGGGGCGCATGCGGCGCCCCTTTTTGCCGGCGCCCAGGGCGGTCGCCCAACTCGCCCTACCCTAAAGCCGGCACTGTATATGTATATAATGTATTTTAATTTCGAGCAGATTGATGAAATGCCGACGACCTCGTTTCGTCGTAAGGAAACAAAACGAGACCAGTTGACAGACAAACTTCTACAACACATGAATAAAATAGAACAGGAAAAATCTCGAGAAATGAAAATGGCAGAAATTTCGGAAAAACTCTCGAATTGATGAATCCGAAACAAAAAGAAATCGCAATTAGTTTAATACATCAATTGATGTGGCATGGCCTTAACAATTTTCTATCAGAGCATACGACGATAACGAATTGGCCAAATCATAACTATCAATAAATTATATAGTGTGTATCTCCTGTGTGCGAATCGGTGTCTGGCGGTAACTTGTTGAGTGTTGTACATTTCGGCGTGGTGTTAACTTGGTGAATGATTATGAAATATATTTGTGAAGAAGTAATAAGGTGATTTATTAATTAAATAATACTAGAGTAAATTTATTTATTTATATATATATATATATATATATATATATACTAGCTGACCCGGCAAACGTTGTTTTGCTAAGTTAGGTATTTCTAAGCAACTTCTAAAGAATAAAAAAAAGAATACTTTATTTTAGGAGTGGTAGGATGTATAGTTTGAATGGTACAGACAATGAGGTATTATAAACACAACAAACTTCAAAGTCTACTTGTATAATAATAAATTATATAATTCATAATAACAATATTCGTTTGACCATATTTTGTTAATACAATCAAACTGGAAGTTTTATACACTTTCTATAAAAATATGGAATAATTCAATCAAAGTCTTTTTTAATCTTTATCCGTGGTCAATGTTCAGTTGGTCATTTTTGCCCCACACAGATGTAAGTTTTCAAAGTGTTGAATCTCACTCAAAATTAACATTACATTTTATAAAACAATTAAATAGTTAAAATTTACATTAAGGTCTCGTGAACTAAATCACAGTGCTCACAACCCAAAAAACTAACAACAAAAGGAAATACTTTTGTTATGGATTTTCAAAGATTACCGTTTATCTCCTGATAGCAAAGTTATAAGAATCAAGGTTATAGCTGGTTATACATCTTTTCTCCTCTACTTTCAAATATTGTTGTTGAACAATGCTAAACTTTACTAATTTTTAAGATATTGGTGGTGAATCTTATTAACCCCAGATCTTCATATATTACTATCCATTCTTCGATAAATTCATAGAAAAATTTTCCAGTTTATTCTTCAAAATTAGTGGAAAATAACGATTATTAAATTATATTTTACATTGCATTATCCAATGATTGTTGAAGTTCTTCATCTTTTTCAATTTGTAGAGTGATTCAATAAAACATGAACGATACCTGACTGTGTCTATCTTTTGAAAGGAATACCTTCAGAATTGTACTCATTTTTCTGCTATACTTGTTCTAGCACCCAAATCAATTAAATCAATTATAATCAATCAAATTATAATCAATTTTCAAAATATTTTATTCCAGAGAACTTGTAATTATGTGCATTGACATTTTTAAAGATGTGTGTTCCAAAGTAATATTATCAACCGAATTTTCTTATTTGAGTAGTGGTCTGTTATATCTGGGAATAAGTTATTCAACAAAATTTCCACTTTAGTCGATTCCAAATTTAGGTTTTTGATTTAAATAATCTAAATAAAATAAAAATATAATCTAGAAAATATTTTATAAATACTAATAAATATAAAATTATGCAACTAAGACTGAGCCCAATCCGTACAGCCATGTTAACGTTTTACCCCGAATTGTTATATAGCTATATAAATTGAACATTTCTCCTTTATGAATTTGATTGAACATATGTACATTTCCAACATGAGTACATATTGTGATAAATTTCAATGTGTTTATTTTGATTTTCCTTTTTTGCAACCGTGTATCCAAATTAGTGGCATCTTTGTTATCACCATGACTTGTATATAGTATGTTCGGGAAGTAATTGGAAAAAGACCCGATCAATAACAGCATTAGTATCTGAACAAAATAAAGAAAATTCTGTATGTGGGATCTGTTAAAATATTTCAATTTTTTTTATTGCAAATTGGAATGCTAAAAAAACTTTTTTCTGTGCACGACCTATTTGGATGATAAAATCATGTAATATAATGCAAGATCGTACTGCTGATACTAAGCAATTTTCAAACAACTTTGTTTCCGAAGATCTGTAAATTCCGAAGATTACTATCTGTATTATAATCCAATTTTCTTATTCATATTGCTGTCTATTATAACTTGCAATAAGTGATTAGACAGAAATGTCTATGGAGGCCCCATCGATGAATTCCAAATTTAGGATTTCAATTTGAATAACCTAAATGCTATAATAATATAATTCATAAAATGCTTTGGTAACACATTATTCACAATTGTAATGAAAAATTTGTATTGTAAATAGATTGTACTGTAAATATTTGTAATGATTACTTCCCTATCTAATTGCACTGCACTTATGTTGATGTCACATGTCATAATGCGATCTTCATAAGCAATTTTCAAGCAACTTTGTTTCCGAAGAACTTGTATGTATACATAATTGAGATTTTTATGAATATGATTTCTAAAATTACTATCTGTGTTATAATTCAATTTTCTTATTCATATCGCTGTTTATGGTGTCCCCTTCGATGAATTCCAAATTTAGGATCTCAATTTGAATAACCTATATGCAATAATAATATAATTCAGAAAATGTTATGGTAACACATTATTCACATTAAACCAATAAGTACTTGCACAGCACAGCGTTTGAAACAAATTTATTTATTTATTTTTTCATAAGCAAGCCTTAATCAATCAATAATAATAGTATTATTTCAAGCTGTTGATAAAAAATACAAATAGGCAGTGAGCAAACACTTGAGAATTAAATAAAAACCTCATATAAAATCAAAATAAGCATTCTTATTAACATTTAAAAATATATAAATAATTAAATTTTAAAATTAAAAGAATAACACATAATCTGTTCCAACTTGACAACCATCTTTTTGACATGAGTAGGCGATACTCGATACATCTGTCATTTGAATAATATTGTGTGGGAAGCCATTTTGAATCAAGTGCTGTTTACCAAAAATTTTCAAATTAAAAATGTAAAGTTTCTACGCGGATTTGAAATATTATCTCACCTTTTGGGCAATCTCTGGATTGGCACGAATTTTTCAAGACTAAGACTGGCCAAATCGATTCAGCCGTTTTCGAGTTTTATTCGGACATTTGAAAGACAGCTCCATTTTTATATATAAGATATATATTGTAACATTCTATATTTAATAAACAACTATTGGTCATATAGTAATTAATATTTTTCATGCATGTACAATTTGCTGTACGCAAATATTATTGCTAACAACGCACGAAAATACCAATGACGTCACCAAGAGAAAGTTACACACACAACGACGAACGAAGGGTCTCGCGTGAAAGTATGATGCAGCATACGCTCTGGCATAAGCGCGACAAGGACGGAGAATCCTGGGGCGCTCGATAACAAACTACGCATAGTGCCGTTATGACCTCAGAGCGTACGACCTAGCGTAAAGTTAGAAAGATATGAAAGAGTTGTGTAATCTGCACTATCCGACTAAGGGAGAAGATAACATCTTAACCCTATGAGTCAATCTAAGTAAAAGAAAGATAAAAGATAGTAGGATGATATACAGGACTTATGCCCTGTGAATCAGCGAGGGTGTGAGGAAGACAATAATATTTACACATTCTACGTCATCGGAAGAGAAATGCATCATAGCCAATTACTGATGACCTCAGCGAGATGAGTTCATCATAGACCAATGACCATCTCATCCCCTGAAGATTTTGGCGAGATGAACCGACGATGATCTCCGAGACAACGCGAGAGAACTATCGGAAGGGCCAGGGGAAGCTTCGGAACCATCACCCGCGCCAAGAAATCAACCCCACTACAGTAGTAGGGGAAGCCCAATTAGCATTTAAGGCCATACAAAGTTAAGAAATTTGTCAAAAAGTGTTTAGTCGCGTTTGCCCTAATATCTTAAGAAACTTGTTATGAGCTTTGCGCCCGCGCGATTAGCAAGTTTAACAAACGATTTTAAAGTTATTAAGTGTAGTTGCATTTAATAATTTTCTTTCGTACTTTGTGATATTCAGTGCGGACGCATGAATAAGAAAAACTGTGTAAACTCTTAGTGCGATAAAGTAACTTCGACTTTATCAATTTTACTCCTTGTTTACGCGTAGTTGATTTAGTGACTGTATACATATTTTTCCGAGTTCTGTAACCTACATACCCATAAATAAAGTAACGGTTGTTGAAAAATTGTGATAATTTCATTTATTCTAACCCCACCCTATTACAAACTGGCGCCCAACGTGGAGCCAGAAACGGAAAAATGGCAGTTACCATGTCAGAAGTAATGTTTCAGCGACTGATGTGAGTGATAAGCGCACAATCGAGCATACGGACGGACTTGGTGACGGGCAGCTTTGCCAGGTACACGGCCAGGTTCAATGGAACACGGATTCCCGAAAAAGTAAAGAAATAAGAATGTCGTTTGCTTTAAGTAAACCCCCGCACAGCGTCTATATAGACTGACGCAGTTGCCCTACGATATCTCCACAGATATGCAGATAGACATGCTCTACGGGCTAATGCAGCGGTTTGTAAGCTGTGGGGCGCGCCCCCCTGGGGGCCGCAAAGCTCTTTCAAAAATATTGTTTTTAAATGCTGAGTAAGTGTCAAAAACAAATCAGCAAAATACATGCAAGTAATCTACAATTTTCGCTGCAATTTTGTCAGGACAAATGTAACAGCATGAATATACTATACTTTTGATGCATTCAAAATATTTCGTTTTTGCGTTTATAACCGAGTGAGCTGTAGGCCTATAAACAAAAGATAATCACTCGGATCATATCGAATATTCACGTGCTTACTCGAGACTAACTTAAGTAAATAAACAAAAGCATCCATTTTTTCTATTATCTATAAATCGAATTAGTTCATTAGTTGTGCTGGAGATACACGCGTTGATATATAGAAAAAATCATTTCTAAATTATTATCGAGTTAAAATTTATAGCTTTAGTTTTAGCACATTATTAGCCAGGAATTATTGTGAAAAGTAGTTTAAAAGTGATTTTCTTTGATTTGTTATAAAAACCGTTTGTAATGGATAAATTCGTCACTGGGTTGAAAAGAAAATTTAATGAAGCAGAAGAAGAGGGTGGTGAAAATAATGGAAATGTTTCTTCACAAAATAGTAAAACTAAACATAGAAAATCTGATCCAATGGGATTTACGTATAAGATCATTAATGGTCAAGAACGACCAATGTGTTTGCTGTGTATGAATACTTTGGCCTCAGATAGCATGAAACCAAATAAATTAAAACGACATCTGGAAAAAGTGCACGCCGATCATGTTGGCAAAACAAAAGAATTTTTCCAAAGAAAATTAGATAACTTAAATAAACAGAAATAATCGTTTTCAAAAGCTTTGTCTATATCACAAAAGCGTTACTTGCGTCATACAAAGTTTCGTATAGAATTGCTAAATGCAAAAAAACCCATTCAATAGGAGAAACTTTAGTACTACCAGCAGCTACTAGCAGCCAGATAGCTACGATGTTTGGTGAATCATATGCTGATCAAATTAAAAGCATTACGCTGGCAGATAATACGGTGGCAAGACGAATATCAGATATATCTGATGATCTTTGCGATCAGTTGATAGAAAAAATTAAATTATCTTCTTTCGCGTTGCAAGTAGATGAGGATACCGATGTTGCTAAGGATGCACACTTAATAACATATATAAGATATGTTATCGAAAATGATATTAGAGAAGAGTTGTTATTCTGTTGTTGTTATTCTGTAAGGGCAATTGAAGGCAAAGCTACGGCGAGTGAAGTTTTTAACATGATTGATAACTTTTTTATTGCAAATGGTATTTTATGGGAGAACTGTGTTGGACTGTGCACTGATGGAGCTCCATCTATGGCAGGAAAAAATGCTGGTCTGCAGGCCCCAGTTCGAAAAGTGGCTCCTCGTGCAGTTTGGACGCATTGTATGATTTATAGGCAATCTTTTGTTGCAAGAAATATGGGTGAAGAATTACTTGAAGTATTTGAAATTATAACTAGTGGGGCGCATGGCATCGTGCCTTAAGGCAAATTGCTGGAACTTCCCGTACCAAAATTTTTTTTTTTTTTTTTGAAAAGATTAACATTTTTGAAAAAAATTTACTCTGAAAAAAATAGATTTTTGAGGAACTATATGAATTTTTGACAAAAACTTACTTTTTGTTGAAAAATTTATTTTGAAATATTTTGGAAATTCTGAACCTTTTTTCAAAGCAATCGTACTGCTTTAATGCATAGAGACTAAATATCATAAATAATATGGGTACGGAACCCATAGGAGTGTTAAGGGGGGCGATACATGTAACAAGAAAAAAAAATCGATTTTTTTTTCTTTCATAAATCGTTACAATAACATCTCAAAAATATGCCTGTAAATATTCAAAACAAAATTATCATTATTTATACAATATAAACTCATTTAAGTGCCACGCCTCAACTCGACGCTTGAGTGCTATTGTACTCTTATCTGTTTCTATGTCAAAACTTTAAACGCGTTTTTCTCAAAACGACATTTTTGAAATTTGCGGGCGGGATAACTCAAAAAGTTCTCAACCGATTCCAATGAAATTTTGCACACATCTACTTTACAGTAATAGCTTCTAGTTAAACCTCAAACATTCCAAAAAAAATTCAAAAATTAACCCTTTTACCAAAAAAAACCATTGAAAAAAAGGTGAAAAATCGAACTTTTTTTTTCTGAGGTGTGCCAATTTACGATTTTGTGACTTTTTCAATTTTTTTTTGGTTTAACTAGAAGATATATGTTTTATGAACACGTACAAACTATTGTTTTTGATTTCGGATCACCGTACGAAAAGTGAGAACGCCCGCAAATTGATGGCGTTTTCCGAGAGGGTCTTGGCAGATTTATTTTTACGGCAGCCATTTAAAAAAAAAAATTAAAAAAAAATTTTTTTTGTGTATTTTAATATATAATAAATAACCTTAAAAAAGTTCAAAAAGATTCAGTCATTCCTTCCCAGTTTAAAAAGTCCTCAAAAAATGGTAAAAATTAAGGCGATTACATGTATCGCCCCCCTTAACAAAATGTATACTTATTGTTAAAATCTCTATAAAATATCTCATAATTTGATGTGCATATGTCTAATGTCTAATGATTATTGTTGACCGCCAAATGTTATTTTTTTTTAAATTTTTTTTACTAGATCTCCGAAACCGCTAGACCTATTATCATGAAAATTTGATCAAATCTTCATCTTGATAATGCAAGTAAAATGTTTTTGAATTATACAAATCGGACGCTCCGTTCTCTTAAAAACTGAGTTACCGTTTTTGGCACTTTTTGCCCCGTATCTTCGGAACGGCTAGGCCTGTCTTCGCTAAAGACTAATCAGCACGTCTTCTTATCAATACAAATCGAATATTTTTTGAATTAGTTAAATCGCTTCATCTGTGTAACCGAAATCGTCGACAAAAATTTGTATCCGAACACACACACATACACGCACACACACACACGCACATACACACACACAAACATCAATTTTTTCTAAGGCATGCCAAAATGTTCAGAAGGTTTTAAAACGTAAAGATATAAAAAAAAACGATTTTGCGATTACTATAACTTGCTCTACGAGAAGTTAATTATAAATAAATCAATTTATCATCTCCATAACATTAACAATCGTCATTTCATTTCGAATTAAATTTCAAAAAAAAATAGTTGCCAAATTTACACAAAATTGAAAAAGTGCTCCCGCATAGTCACAGTCTAAACGCATTTGCAAATAAATCTGTGCGACATTTTCACTTATACTATGCTCAGCTTGGCGGCATTTTCACATTTTTCAATAATTTTCACAAAATTGTAAAAGTGCTCCAGTACATAAACAGTCTAAACGCACTTGCGTAAACATTTCTACCAGAGTGGCGCTTAGACTGTGCTTAGCCTGGGTGATTTTTTGAATTTTTAATCCAAAATTACAAAAAAAATTTTTTGAAAAAAAAATTAGAAACAAAAAATTTTTTTTTCCAAAATCAATTATATTGTTGAAAGAAGCAGAAAGTTCTTTGAATCATTTAAATCGGACGCTTAGTTCTCTCAAAAACAGCCATTTTTTTAACATTTAGCTCTGTATCTCCGAAACCTCTGGCCCTACCTTTGCCAAAAAATAATCAGCACATCTCCCTATCAATAGGAATCGAATGTTTTTTAAACCATTCAAATCGGTTGATCCGTTCTCTCAAAAACTCGCTTTCTATTTTTTGCACTCTTTGCTCCATATCTCCGTAACGGCTGGACCTGCCTTTGCCAAAAACTAATCAGCACATCTCCCTATCAACAGAAATCGAATGTTTTTTAAACCATTCAAATCGGTTGATCAGTGCGCCCGAAAACGTGGACGAAAAAACGCGGACATACAAAAACACCACACACACACACACACACACATCCATTTTTTCTGAAGTATGCCAAAATGTTCAGAAACCTTCAAAACGTCGAGAAATGTAAAATTTTTGATTTCGATTTTGGACGATTACTATAACTTACCCTACGGGAAGTTAATAAAAGTTGTTAATTTTATCAAAAATAGTCCATTAAGAGAAAGGCTTTTTGGAACATTGTGTGATGACATGGGCTCAGAATACAAAGCACTACTTTATTATTGTGAAGCACGTTAGCTTTCTCGTGCTGAAGTACTTCAAAGGGTGTTTGAGCTCAAAAAAAAACTGCCATTTTTCTTGCTGATAATAAAAGAGATGAAGCAGATGTATTTTATGACACGAAGTTTCTCGCAAAATTTGCGTATCTAGTTGACATTTTTAAAGACTAAGTGATTTAAATAAATCAATGCAAGGATCTCAAATTCATGCTTTTGTTCAAAAGGACAGAGATTACGGCGGTTTATGAAAAAAAAATAGAACTGTGGATAGCTAGTATGAAAAGTAATAACTTGATATATTTCCCTCTTTTAAAACTACATGTGTTACTGATGAAATAGAAGCAAGTAAAGATCTTATTATCAATCATATGAAGGAACCAATTTGGGCATTACTTTAAAGATCTAGATATGTCCAAATACGAATGGATTAGAAATCCATTTGTTATTGATAAATATTATGATTATAGTCTTTTAACGGCAGAGCAGAAAATGATAATTGATTTATCTATGATAGCACATTGAAGCAGATGTTTCAATACGAAAAGAATATTGTTAAGTTTGGTTACAAGTAAAGGATTGGTTACAAGTAAAAGATTTTCCAACTTTGACAAATAAAGCTTTAGAAATTTTATTACCATTTGTGACATCCTGCTTATGTGAAACTGGTTTTTCTGCAGTAGCAGTATTAAAAACAAAAGTACCGATATCGTTCGTTTAGTGATAAACAAGAAACTGAGAACAGCGATTCTACCAATGGAGCCGCGATTGAGAAAATTTGTGCTAAAAA